TCTTTAAGGTTGGATAATTCTTGATTAATTTGATTAATTTGGAGAGATAACTCCTTAGTTTTATCAATTGCTTTGTCAAGTTTGCTGTTGATTAGTTCTTTGCATTTCAACGTTGCTTTCTCTGTGTTGATTGGCTGGTGATCTATTATATCATGGTCTAAGAGGGCGCACTTCAGACAGATTGGTGACTGACAATCCTGATTATCACAAAACAGTGTTATTCTCTGATCAGTATGACTTCCCTTTGAGCAAAATCGTTTTCGATGAAAGAATGAGATAAGTAATTCTTCTGATAATTGTTTCAATTCTTCAATGGTTTTCACTTCATGTGTGCTCAAAGCTTCGATGTGAATGTGGTTGTCATGACAACTTTGGCAAAGGTATGCTTCACAGTCCGAACAATGTGAAACATTCAGTGTTTGGTTGTTACGGCAACAGCTTTGGCACGTTGTTAGTTTACCGTGCTTAATCTGATTCTTATGACAAAGTAATTGATTATAATTTAGAAATGCGAAATTTGTTGGAATTAGATCAATGCCTTTAGGAATATTACTCTTATGTTCACATCCGGGACATTGGAATATTTCACCAACATGACCAGCTAGACAAAGTACGCAGAATGTATGAAGACAGGGAAGATACTTTGGTGTTCTGTTGGTGACGTCATACACATATTTGCATAGTGAACACTTCAGTGGGACTTCATTTTCACCAATACGTAGAAGATCTGTATCACCTATTCCCGCCATTGTAGTTGTCTGTTATCTGTAAAATACAAGAGTAAATCTAAGATTTGATTGTATGTACATCATTTGCATATTTATGCACCAATTTACTACTGGTTTGCTAATACTATTTTAAGCCAATTGTGATACGTTCACGTAATCACAAATTTTGGCAGTTGCACCAAAATTGTTTAAAATACACACGTTTTCGGCTATTGCCATGGTAGGACATAAACAAGAAGTAAACGTCGTTTGCTATACGAAGTTCGCAAAACGCAATCGCATTCACTTTATTACTAGCGCGTATTTTGCTGTTTTAATTATAATTTGTATTACCAATTGTTTTTGTAATTGCATTTGCTAGGATCTTTGATTGAACGCAGCATTAACAGTTCATTCAAAATGCTGAAGTTGCATTGAGATTTGCGTTAATACAGTGTAACAATGTCAGCGCCGGGGACCTCGATGGTGCGCAACTTTGCCAAAATACCATACCATAACATGTATTAAATACATGCCCTAGAATTCTTGCATTAAAGCACATTATCAACATATAACCATTGATTTTAGTCGAATTCACAGTAAACAATTACCCAATCTACCGTATGTGGCTCATTTCACCCGACCATGAAATTGCAAAAAAAAACATGTGAGACACAGGTTTTCAGCTTGACAAGCGCCATGAGACATCAAATCATTTTTAGCCCTTGAAATAATAACATTCTATATTAACAAATCACTTCAGTGTGTGATATTCATGAAATACCATTACAAGAAATCGTTCTAGAAGTTCGAACTCGAAATCTGGTGTCAGTAACCGAGCATTGAGCATCTGTGCTAAACTTTTTGCATTTCGGCATTTCCACGATCTATCCCTTGGAGGAAAAGATATGTATAATAAGGTTATTACGAGGATACCGCAAAGTATGCACTCAGACAGAACACCGTCGCATCGACCTCTGCTGCGCGTCGGTCGATACTTCCGCTGTACTGTCTTCGCGCATACTCTTCGATATCCTTGCAATAACCTATAGGGAATATAGGGGTCGAAATCTGAATCTAAAGGGCGACAGACATTTTGTCTAACTTAAGATGGATGAGTGTTAAGAACAACGAATCCATTTTAATAAGACGGTTTTAATGTGGAGAGTGTCCCATAATTTGGCACCTGAGTATCTTATTTCAAAATTTAAATATCTTAGAGAAGTGCACTCATATGACACAGTTTCAAGTGTACGGGGTGACTTTAGGGTCCCATCTGGCCACAAGTCCTTTCTCACTACTTCAGTTGTCAGAATATGGAACTCCCACCCCCCAGCAAGTGCGTAATCACGATACGTTTGCTGGTTTTAAGAAGTCATAATCTCAGTATATTTTACAAAATACTGGTAAATTTTTAAAATATTCTTATGTAATTGTTGCTTGTATATTTGTATATATTTTTATAGCTTTTTTTCTGTATTAAATTTTAATGTAATATTTTAAATGGCTCCTTGTAAAACAGCATTTAGCTGACAGGATTCCTAATAAACTTTGAAACTTTGGCAGTTGTCCAACAACAAAGCAGTCCGCCAACGAGCAGTCTTACCGATAATCCTGCAGCGCCGATTTCCCAATCAACGGTCGCACCAGCCCAAGCAGCAGCTGCAGTAATCAGTCATCGGAATGATCAGGGTCCGAATCCCGCAGTTGTTACTCCACAGATGATAAAGGGTCTGGAATCGTCTATCTCTAACCTCGTCAATATCGTCGCCATGCAGCGTCAACACCAAACACAGGAAGTGACGTTATTCAGTTTCGCCCAAAACAGGGAGCGGAAACTCTGGGTCGCAACATGACGATCAGCCAAAACACTCTACAGAATACTAACGTTGTCTTTTGTTGAGCTTATTTCACCATCCCTACGAAGAGATATCCTAGCAGTAAGGATATTAATCTTGCATGCCTGCTCATACCTAACTATGGAAATTCCGACTCACAGGGGACGAAGCGTTTAACGTAACATGGCGTTACTACTATTCTCCTTCCCAGAGCTCCTTGCGGTTAAATTACCGAAACTATCTCTGCCACCACACACCGCCATTTTGTGGTGAAACACCACAAAACTTTTACTACGCGTAATATTTGCGTATTTTTGTTATTAGAGGGATCTAGTGTTGATTTATTCCTACTAATAAACAAGTTTTAAAATATTTCACCGATAGCTGATAATGATTTTTTTGCAAACGCACTGAAAACGGTGAAATAGTTATGATTTACAAAAGAAAATAATTCCATTGCGTAATAACCGTTACTAAGGTGTTACTCGGTTCATCAAACTGACCGTCCTGTGGATTGCCAGGCGAAGATATATAAACAAAATAAAGCACTTCGTAGTATTGACGACTAAATCGTGCTACTGCCACACCGTTTGTGTTACGTAAAGTAAAAAATTAGCTTCTCAATTTAAAATTAGCCAGAATCTACAAACAACAGCGTACATTTTTGTCAGGTTCGAAAATCAAACACTTGCCTGGGAATGTTTTGTTGGGCGTCTTTGGCAAAAAGCTTTATTTAGTTTAAAAGCAAAACTTGGACATAAGCCAAATTTTCATCCACTTACAATGCTATCCCTTTTCGATAAACTAATTAGGCCCATACTAGTTTACGGAAGTGACATCTGGGGTCACGAAAGCACATACAAATCAAGTGTGGAAGAAATTCACCTAAACTTTTGTCGTTTTGTTTTAGAAGTCAGGAAGAACACATCAATCTTGGGTATTTATGGGGAACTGGGAAAATACCCACTCGACATATTCATCAAAAAACAATTAATTAAATACTTCAACAGAGCAATGAATACATCAAATGAATTGGTAAAGGAGCAGCAATTATGAACAAACAATTAAAAAGCAGATAGTACAGTGCCATAACTACACTGTTAACTGAAAATAAACTAACCACAAATTATCGAACAACAACTATACTGAACGACAGAGAAACCAAGAAATTAAGTTTGGAAGTTGAAAAAATATATAAATTATACTGGAAAAGGGAAATTAAGAGGGACTGATGATAACCAAAATAACAAGAGATGAAATAAACTCAGAACGTACACAAATTTCAAAAATGAATTAACTTTAGAAAATTATGTGATCAAAATAAAAATGCCGAACAACGTGAATGTCTAAGTAGGTTCCGTCTGAGCAATCATAAATTTAAAATTTAAACAGGGA